AGAGAGAGAGAGAGAGAGAGAGAGAGAGAGAGAGAGAGAGCACACCCCACAAGCAGAGTTCTTATAGGAATACAACACATACAATTTTCTTGATTTGTTCTTTCAGACTACAAATAGAGTTCTCGTCTTTTTAAAACTAAGCATTACAATGGCCTTTAGCTTGAGTAAAGCTTTCAAGCAAAGTTACACAGCTGTCAGAGTGAACATATTGTGCTCACCCCATTTGAGTGAAATCCCAGCTACTGACACCCAGCTATAGCCCCTGCCATGGTATACCACTGAAGGAAGTGTCTGTTCACTCTATTCCCCTGAAGCACAGAGTGCCTCATACCAGTGGGCCAGGGCAGCCATATAATCCTCAGGTTACTCTCCCTGACTTCACTGTCTTAGTTACAAAGGCATAGACTAGAAGTTACCCACCAGGAGAATGAGGATGGTACTGCAGGCTGCAAACACAGACATGATTAATTTGAATTAATGCATTTTAAAAATCAAAGAACTTTGTGGTACACACCATTATAGACTCTTGAGAAAGCATGCCAAGTCTCAGGTGTCTGGATTTTATGGTTTTCAGACTAAACAGATAAGTCCCTTTTGTTTATTGTGCATTGCAACAACACAGTAAAACAAAACTGCCTTACAAAATGAATGTGCCTTTAACATGCATCCTCATTGTGCTGAATTTATGAGGTTTGATGCTGAATTTTGCTATTACTGTTCTTCCAGATAAGTGCTGTTTAGGAAGGAAGAAGGAACTGTTCCATGTTTCTGAGCTGCTAGACCAATGCTTCTCCACATTAAGATATGCATCCAGGAGGAATTGTCCTCCCTCTTGTTGTTGTTGTTGTTGTTTAAACTTCCATTGCTGTCACTCTGGTGCCCCCACTTTTATATTTCTGATCAGCAGTTATTTAAACTTGGACTTGTTAAACGACTAAAGCTTTCTTTGATAAAACAACTGAAAACTTAACTATGTCCATAGGTGTAGTCTTTGATATCTTCATTCTCTCTTGTGTCCATCCTTATTCTAAGGATGCCTCTTGGAAGAATATCAACAGTCACATTTGATAGCAACTCATGATTTTACATTATAAGTATGTCACTTAGTCCTTGTGCAGAAAGGCAGCTGTATCTAACAGTGAAGGCAGCCCTGTCAGGCACATGCAGACAAGTGAAGCTAGTCTTTTCACTTAACCACTTCTGTGCCATTAATTCAATCCATGCCACATTCTGTGTTGTGATGGAATAGCAAGTTTGTGATGAAATGGTTGCTCTGTCGGACTACTACAGGATACGATTCTTGCACAGTGCATCCCTCTGTACTTCTCTGAATCAAAGCCAATGGGATTGTCAGTGTTGCTTTAAATGGATGTATATGTGCTAATTGATCTTTGGGATGTAGAGAGTTAGTAGAGTGTAAGACATTCGAACCTTATGTTTCTTTGACCTCCTTTCCTGTATCTGTGTCATTTTCTAGAATTCCACTATCATAATAGCTTTGTCATTACCATTGTTCTCCATTAGCCAACCTTTACTAGAAAGCTGCAGCAGTATCTCTTCTTTTTCCTGGGTTTGGCAGTGAAGCTCCAGTTAGCTGTGCCAGATGCAATGCTTCCTCCTGGCTTACCTTACAAGGCTGAACTCCACTGAATGCTAACATCTTTGTTCAGGCTGCTTCACATGTTGTTTATTTACATGCAAAAACATTGTGGAAATGATTAGCCCTGTTAAGCACGTCTATGTTGAAACCAGTGGGGGACATACACTAGAGTACGTCCTATGTGTGCATGCAACAGTTGTACCTCACATGTACATATGCCAGGGAGCTGGGATCAAATGGAGACCCCTTCTCCTCTGTGCACTGTCTTCCAGACACTGGTAAAGGGGTTGAGCAAGTGGCACATAGTGGAGCCTCGGAAGCAGTTCTGCCCTCCCAGCGTTGGCAGGAATGTGGGGGAAGCCAGTGGCAGCCACGTGACTTGCTGTTTGGGCAGCCTGCCAGCAGTTGTCAGCTAGAGTCCCTTGGCCAGAGCGGCCAGCCTTTTGTTCCACAATCACTAAATAGCTCTCTAAGCCTTTTGAGTTGACCATGGCCTAACCTGTCAATAGTAGGCACAGGGTGCCTACTAAACCTACAAACCCTGGCTAATTCGGCTGGTTTGTAAGTGGACCTAGGGTGGCTTATAAACCACCTCTTTGGGAAGCAGGGGCATTCAGATGGCATGTTAGCCCTGACGACTTGAACGTGTCCTGTGTTCTCAGAAATAGACTCGGGAAAACATGCAAGTTACTTATTAGATGAGACATGGCTTAGTTTTGTGCTGGGAATACCTGTACCAAGATTGTAAAGGTTTTATTAATTATAAATACCTTTGAATTTGAGCAATTATGACAGAAATAGACCATTCTGTGATACTAACATGCCTTTTCTCAATTTGGCTTATCAGTTTTAAGTGAGGATAGGTTTGGCTCTGTCATTTCTATAAGTCAAGCAGTTCTGTCTTCTCCTTGTTATCTGTCATCTTCTAGGAGCACTAATTGACTTACTGCAGATTACTTTTAGGATTTATTTTATAAAATATGCTAACTGCAGTAAATAATGTTTCAAGTGGGTATATATAAATAAAAATAACAATATTGACATAAAAAAGAAACGTTTATGTCAAAGTTGTTGTGAAACAGTAAAACGTAAAACAGTAAAACGTCTATCAAAAGTACTGTTATGTGCATATAGTATTTTAATTAGTATTTTAATGTATAGTATTTTAATTGATTTATTTGTGAGCCGCCCCGAGGCTTCGGCAAATGGGGTGGTATAGAAATTTTCTAAATAAATCAAATAAATATAAAAATGAATGCAACAAACTGGCAGTCTAGATTTAAATATTGCAGGAATGGATGTTTCATATTAACTGTTGAATTGGTGTTTATCTCACACACCCGTGCACATGTACACACTCTCCACATACAGGCATAACCTTAGTTCTTTCATTTTTTGTGTGTTTTGGAATGCTAACTAACTTTGACATTCAAAAGATAGTAATGTAATGTTCCTTTGTAGGTCTTAGAGTCATGTGACAATGTCTGAAAGGGAACTTCATTCTCTGTGTGTGTGTGTGTCTCCCTCTAGGTGGGAAGAAGAACGCCTTCCTGAAGGTATTAAATGGAAGTTCTTGGAACACAAAGGTCCTGTTTTTGCACCACCATATGAACCTTTGCCTGAAAATGTCAAATTCTACTATGATGGTAAGTTGTGTAAAATGGATGGTTGGTGGAAGAGGATGGCCTGGTTTGACTGACAGACAAACCATGGTTTCTTGATAACATACTGTGTGTGACAGGCAGCAAGTTACCCACAGTAATAAGTGGATCAAGTTCCTTTGACAAGCTGCCCTGTCAAGCATAATTATGCATGTCCCCCAGGCACATGCAGCATTGTTAACAAGGTAAGGTACTGTGACTTGTTAACTGCCTGCCAATAATGCAAACCCAGTCTGTGTGTCTTTATGATAAGAAACAGGGAAAGTACTTGTAGTAGCATGTCCAGCTGTGGTCTCTGAAGCTTGTGTAGGAGGAACAGATCTTGTCCAAACCTCTTGAGAATTTTTTAAATAGATGCATCAGGACTGAAATGTGCAGAAACTTACAGGAAATCACTCTGAAATACCTGTCATTTTTTAAATGTAGAATCAAGTTGGGCTTTTAAAACGTGAAAGGTATTTCTGTGACTGAAAATCTGTTTCATTTGTAATTCTAAACATACTCCATCAGTGGAACTAATTCAGACATGATGCTTTTATTCCTTTGGTTTTTAACCCTAGAAGAATATGTAGCTATAGATAGGGGAAAGAGAAAGAGAGTGAGCGAGAGAGAGATGCTTTGGCCTGGCTATCAGGGATGTTGTACTGAAAAGAAAAAAAATGTTTTCATGCTTGACTAAACACCTTTGTCAGTCCAGAAAAGGATCAGGCTTTTGCATGCAGAGCCCATTCAACTGAAAGTAGGCATCTTCTAATTTGTGTGGTTTCATGGGAGGTGGGGACACTTATGCATGACTAGAATTGGATAAGGACTCTTCACTGAAGTTCGTGCATTACTAGTTGATAGTCTATTGTCCCTGCCTAATTAACTAAAGGTCAATTCAGAGATTATCTGCATCCCCCCCCCCCAAATCCTGGATTTACCATAGTCACTGCCTGAGCTAGTGTAGGATATCTCAGTGTTCCTGATGCTACACTGTGAAGAGTCAGTGGGACTCACTGCCTCCCACCAGCCTCACAAAGGGTTAAATTTAGTTTCCTGGCCAGGACCATCTGGCATGCTCTCAACCCAGCCCAATTGACAGGGCAAATACATCAGGCAAAGGAGACACCTCAGGTAAGTGACATCACATTCTCTGACTCAATTGCAGCTTTCTGTCCCAGTCAAAATGAGCAACACCTGAAGTGGCCAAGAGAGCAAGGAAGAAAAGAAAAGGGAATTTGGCTAAAAGGAGACGAGAAGAGAGGGCAGGGGAAGAACACGGGCTTGAGGCTACAACAATGGGCGGAACCCGGGACATGGAAGGGAGCCACAGAGGAGGGAGAGTGAGAGTGGAGGAGATGTGGGAAAGATGGAGCACAGGTACATGCGCTGCTCGCAGCTGGGGTGTGGAGTCAAGTTAACAGTGGCTTTTATTCTACTCATTTTTTGTACACCATCCCAAGACATTTGTAGTGGATGGGTTAGAAAAGCTTTTAATAAATAATAAATAAGTTGGACTCCCTGAGAGGAGGAGAGCCTATGCCTAGCTTCTTTTGTTGACAGACTCTAGGTAGAATTCAAGAGCCCACTTGCTAACATCATTTCAGAGAGTCAGGGGGATGTGAGGTTTTACTCCAGTTATGTATTGGCTACAAGCTGCCAAGAGGGGCTGCTGGAAAAGCAGCAGCAACCCTTGGTGTTCTACCAGCTATTTCCCCAGGAACAACTAGAGACAGTAGTTATTGCATGGGGGGGGGGGGGGGGGGTCCCTGCCATGATGTATACAGTTGGTTGCATTTTTGTTCTAGAGTGGTGACTCCCCCTCTTGTTGCAGTTTAACTGGATTTTGGGTGCGGGTAACCAAGAAGCATTCAATAAAAGTCTTTTAAACACCTTTTATGCATGACCCCACTGATGGAAACACTGGAACAGGGATGGTTTGATGTTCCTCTTAAACTGGACCCAGTGACACAGACTTATTGAAAAGACTGTTTACACTAGTTTAGAAGAGTGATAGCCTTATTGCAGCAATTCAGTCACTAGAAGCCATCTTTTGAGTTTCTTCAGTTAGGGAATATGAGAGAATATATGAGAATATGTTAACCCTATTGTTTTTAAACTAATGGTAGATAAGCCCGAGTAATCTCTATACAAGAGTGGACAGGGCAGTCTTAAATTACATCTGTCCTTGAATGCATGGTATCAGTAGAGTGCAACTACTTTAGTATTCAATACAACATGACTAAGCTACCTTGAGCATGAAATCTTCATATGCCTATATGTTTTACATTAATCCTACTTACTCAAAATATCCTAGAATCCACCTTTGAACTTCTATAATTTGTATATTTACTGACTTCATTCAGATAAAGTGCTACACCTCTGGTTCAGCTTTATTAGTGTTATGGCAAGAACTAGGATCGTGCTTTCTCCAACTTATCCCCTTTACATTCATGGGGAAAGAATCTACAGTTTCTTGCTGTGATTTGTAACAAACAAATCCTGCTGTGGAATACAGTTTGTCTGAATGTGGGAAATTGTGTTTTGCAAACCATCATTTGTTAAGAAACCAGGATCTGATCTTGGTTTGTTATCTTGATTCATTAACTGAACTTCTCCCATATTTGGATAAAATGGAAAACCATTTTGGTTACAGATCTTAACTGGCGGCTTTATTATTCTTCCCCTTATATATGTAGGATAGAGTCAAGAGAGCATTAGTCTGAGGTTTACCATGGCTCACAGTTGAAACATTATAGTTTAACATAATGTCTGAATGTGAGTGCTGTAGGTTTATTCCTGAGGTGTGTTGTACATGGTTTAAAAGGTGTGACTCAGTTGGTCAATCAAACATTGCCAAGACAGGTGAGCAGCCCTCCTTAAAAAAAATGAGAGCAGGAGCTTATGAGAGCTGCTTCCTTAATGTGTCACTGCTGGATAGATTTTGCATATTCATATAGCAATACAGACTTGTTGACTATTGGCTATATTTAGATTATCAAGATCTATGCTTCATAACCTGAAATATGCATGAACTTCAGACACTTCCACTTGGCCACATTGTTCATTTCTTTGCATGAGTAGCAAAGCAAACCAGAAACCTTAATTAATCATACCTTGCTCCATCTGCACTAGAAAATTGGTTAATAGTTTCCAGCCATGCAAGAATAAGTAGCCATGGTGTAAGACTGTCTTTGGTATCCTGACTTGTTTGGAAATCATTAAGTATAGTTCCTGAACCAATTGTGGTAAGTCTGAATCCTGGTTTGTTTGCTTGTTTGAAGGGAGAAGCAAAGTGGCCACATTAATATTTTAGCTAATGGAGCCAAAATCTTACTGTTTGTACCATGTTTTCGTGACCTTCTGTGCATGTTTATTTGCAGTGGATAATATTTGTCTTAATCATTTTGCTCCACTAGTTCACTCACTTATGCATCTCATGGGAGAAGCAGTGGATACTCAACTGTAAAATACATGTACTCAAATCTGAAAGGCATACAAAAGTTTCAAAAATCAGAACTTGTTTCTTTAGAATATTTGGAAGAGGGTTTCAGACCTTCACTGGTTGTGCTTTGAATCTTTTGAAGGCTACATCTAACCTTACTCCTAGTTTTACCCATGAGCACTAGTTTTACCCATGAGCGCATGAATTTGGCATTGGCATCAGAGTACATTAAACATCCCATATTGCTCATCTTTTAAAATTGATTTGAAAGATACTTTTGGTGCATCACCAAAATATAAAGCATAAGATCCTCTGGTCTAACATACAAAAGAACTCTTTTCAACTGTATTCTACAGTGTGACTAATTTTCTTAGAGCTAGATATAGAAATCCCTCCCACACATCCAATTCATCAAGAGGACACACTATTTTGCTTTCTTGGCCTACCTTAACTGTACTGTGTAGTGGCTGTATTGGATTTCACAAAAATCTGTTCTTCTAGAATGGCAGCTCTTTAGACTGTTGTCAAATAAAAGATTTCTCCTGTTTTCTGTTGTTGTTAAACTCTGGCAAATCCCACTTGACTAGTGTGTTTTTAGCACAAGTTGGGCTTGCATCAGGTATATTGGGTAGGCAAGGGAGGTGTTGTGTCTGCAGTGCATTAAGGCATCAATTGCTTCCTTCCTTGAGCTGTGGGAAGTGCTCCCTTTCTACACACCTAGTTATTTCATACAGAGCCTGCTATAACAATTCTTCAATCAAGGGCAAACAGGACCTTCACAAATCATTGAAATGAATAATTGAAAGCAGGCAGCCTTTTAAGAACTCTTTGAGTCAGTGGAGTTAGAATTGCCACTGTATGTTCAAATGGCGCAAAACCAAACCAACACAAAGGGCTCTTTGCCAATTGTATGATGGTCAAGAATGGCACAGTGGAAGAAATGGGAATGGTCACTACTACCATTTGTGGAATGAGGGCAACTGTTCACCCACTACCTAATCAGTACTTACTGCCTTTGGGGTTGGCGCCACAAGGCCTTATGCCTGCCTGGGGATGTGTGGGTATACGTCTGAACTATCCGGATGTCCTTCAACCCTGTTCTTTTATTGGCACTCTTCAGGAACAGAGAAAAGAGTTGGCTGAAATTGTTTATAGGATGTGTGACTTTGTGAGGTGTTGCCTTAGAAGGGCTTTACCATATATCTGTAGAAGAGAAGTAAAGAGGTGTAAAATATACATGAAGAAAGAATAAAAAGGTGCATGTAGTGCCCTGCTTAGTAATATTATTTGGGATATATGGATTAAACTTTTCCATAGTAAACTACCAATTGTTCTTGCCCATTAAATAATTGGCATGCTGTGGAGTGGCAAAGGACTTTTCCTTAAGGGGTGTTGCTCTTTTTTTAAAATGATCTTTCTCCCATAGGTCAAATAGTAGTTAAAATAAAAACGTTCCCCTATAACATTGAAAAATTAATGGTCAGATTCTGGAAGCCATAATGAACTTCTGATCTTTTGTCATGAATATTATGCAGGTCTGTTTCATCAGTAATCTCCCTAAGCTGCCCTTCCCTCCCCAAACAATGCTTACTGTGTAGTAAACAGAGGGAACCCATAAACTGGAGATCCATTTTCATTCTGACACATATACAGGTCCTGGAGATGAAATTTGTGCATACCCAGAGTCTGTTTCTCTCCCTAATGGAGTAAACTTCTGTTTTCTGCTTTCAAAGCAAAATCCCAAAATTGGAATACCCAAAAATGTTTTGAGCAGATGCAATGCAATTTTATGCTGCCTATTTTGTTACTTTTAATGACAGATTTTACATTAGATCAGGCAATTTAAAGCTACATTACTTTGTCTATATCAGAACTTGGAACTAAAAACTTTTATTAAGGAACTCCTTGAGGCCCTAGCTCACCCTGAAATGCAAGGCTGTGCAATAACCTATTTGTAGGATCATTATTCTGGCTGTGCATTGTATATCCACAGAGCACCAGTGCTCCGTAGGAATGCTCCTGGATTCTATCTTTCTGAGTTAAGATGATTAAACTTAACTCAATTTCAGATGAGTAAACTGTTTGAAAGTTTGAACATCTATTGTATGCTACCTTATTTTCTTTTTCCTCATAGATTGCTTTCTCTCTTGCAGGTAAAGTCATGAAGCTGAGTCCCAAAGCTGAAGAAGTTGCTACATTTTTTGCAAAAATGCTTGATCATGAATACACTACTAAGGATATCTTCAGGAAAAACTTCTTCAAAGACTGGAGAAAAGTATGGATAGCATCATGGAAGGGTTGGGCACTTGGTTCCTTCAGAGAATTCAAGCAGGCATCCCAATTTGCTGCTTGCCTTGTCTCCTATCTAACAGATGCTTCTGGAGCATTAACAGATGACTCATTCTTTGTTTCCTTCCTTATTGAATGCTTGAGCACTAAGAATTCTGCTTGTGAAAGGAATCTACACATACCAGAGCAAGGGTTTCCTTCTGATTGCCTCTCAGCCAATCCCATTTGGTCCATTCTGTGTGTCCCCCCACCACTTTGCTAAATAACTTTGCCATTCTTGCACCATGTGCAAGCTTGAATGAGTAAAGTTGAAGAACGAGCAGTGTGGGGAGTATAAAATAAAATTCTACAGCCAGTTTGGCTGAAGTAGAAAAAAATCTCCACAATGGAGAAGAGAGGAGAAGTTGTGGAGCTAGAAGCACATAGACAGAAATCTCATGCTGTTGGGGTACAAGAAATGAGGAAGGAGGGAATCTTGACAAGAGAGGTAAAAGCTATGATTTGCTGGGGAGTTAGGTTGCCCTCTTTTCCATTTTATGATAATCCTTTTGCGGTGCTTAAGCTGAAGGGCTAATAATTATGCTTACATACACTCATAGTTGCCAGTATCTAAGCTACTAGAGCTTTTAAGAGTGTGTTGGAGACACCTTGTCTGGCACCCATTGTTGTTCTTCATATCCCAAAGTTAGGAGGTATGACAAGTGCTGCTGGCCTCATTAAGGTGAGTCTGCTTTTTTTTCCAAATGAGTGCTCTCAGTGCTGCCTCATGCTTGGTTGAGACAAAATGATTTACCACTTTCACTCCTAACTTGGTTGCAGTGCCTGTCTTTGAAGTGTTTTCCTGGAGTAATGGCTCATTGTCAAAGCTGTCTCTGTCAGAGGCACCCTATACGCACATTCTATTGACCTGGAACCTCTTATAAATTACCATGACTGATCTCAGCATGTGGAGTGACAAAGTGCATTGGCCTAGCTGGCATAGATAACCAAGGATTGGCAGGCTAGTTGTGCACCTTATTCTGTTTGAGAAATGTGGAAAAGTATAATCAGAATGGTGATTAATGGCCAATGTATAGACGGACTAGTCATGAGCTCTTTCTGGTTATTTGTAAAGAGTAGCCCTGAGCTTCTTTGGGAAATAATAGCTCAGCCTAACATAGGGATGGGCAGAAAGTAGATGTCTACATGTTTTAGTCTTCAGCTCCCTGTATTCTAGAACAGCCTTCCCCAACCTTCCCCAAGCAGGGCCACCCTCTTACTGGGAATTCTGGGTGTTACAGTCCAAACGTGTCTGAAAGGCACAAGGCTGGAGAAGGTTGTTCTAGAGCATTGGACTTGCTGAAAGAGGATTCTGTGAGTTGAACGGCAAACCATCTGCCCCACCCTGTCTGACCTAACTGACAGTTTTGTTAGGCTAAAATGAGAAGGCTGTGGATTTGGAGGAGATGGGATATAAATACAATAACATGCATAGTCATTATACTGTTGCAAGAATGAGTGTAAGAACCTAAGCTTTTAAATAAATACCATATATACTAGTGTATAAAATGATCCTTGAAACTGCAAAAAGTGAGGCAAAAATTGGGGAGGGGGATCGTCTTGAAAGGTGAAAATTTTTCATTACACATCAATATACAGTGAATAATACTCCTCAAGTGCATCTAATTTTTGGTGAAAAGCTTAATGATTAGTGGAAAGGTATGAAGATCTTCCAGAGTCTAGGCATGTGACTTTTTTAAAAAAATAAGTTTTATTTGAAATTATAATCCTAAAAAACAAAAAGAAAACTACAAACAACATCCATCATCAAAAACATCAAGCCCGCTGGGTCAGCCCCCACACCCTTCCTTTTCCATTTATGATAACTTAAAAGCATATTTAAATCTATGCCAAGTCCCGTTTCTCTAGCCAATAGTAAAAAGGGTCCCAAGTTTGATAGAAGTCAGTATCTTCTTTTTCCTTCAATGAGAAAGTCAATCTATCCATTTCTGCACAGTCCAGGATGTTCATCGGTAGGTAGTTCCTCACTTTTCCAGTGTTGAGCGAATGGAATCCTCGCCGCAGCGATTACATGTAAAATCAAATACATTTCTTGTTTACTAATGTCCTCCGGTATAATGCCTAATAAAAAACTTCAGGTTTAAAAGCTAAGGATTTTTGTAACATTTCCTCAAGCCATTTATGTATTTTAATACAATACTTTTTCACATTTTCGCAAGTCCACCACATATGATAAAAAGTACCCAATTTATGTTTACATTTCCAACATCTGTTTGACATATTTGGAAACAGCTAATCTTTTTGGTGACAGATACCATCTATAAAACATTTTATACAAGTTTTCTTTATACGAAGTTGCTAATGTTACCTTAATATGTCTCTCCCACAGCTTTTGTCACTTTTCTAATTCAATATTATATCCAAAATTTTGTGCCCACATTATCATAGTTTCCTTAACCTGTTCATCTTCCATTTTCCTATCAAAAGTCATACAATCTTTTAATCATTTTCTCATCTGATTTAAGCATCACTTGATCAAATGCTGTTAAGTCCTTATAAAAACCCCATGCTTTACAATCTTTAGCATATCTCGATTGTATCTGCACCTTATGCCACCAAGATATATTAGATCCCTGTTCTTGTGTTTCTTGATTCAATTTCAGGCCTCCATCCTTATCCAAAATATCATCATATCTTATAATCCCTTCAAAATTCAATGCATTTGGATACACAAAAGCTTCCATGGGTGAAAGCCATCTTGGTAATATATTATACAGTTTTATCTTTAACTTTTCCCATACCACCATTAATGATTTTCTAATATAGTGACTTAAAAAAGAAGCATGTGACTTAGCCTTCTCATACCACATATAAGCATGCCAACTCATTTGCAAATCATGCCCTTCAAGATACAAAATTCTCTTATTTCTTAAAGTTATCCATTCTTTTAGCCACGTTAAAACAGAAGCTTGATAATACAACATCCAGTCAGGGAGACCAAAACCCCCATTCTCTTTAGCTTCCTGAAGTATTTTTAATTTAATCCTTGGTTTCTTCTTTCTCCATATAAATCTTGAAATTTGAAAATTTAAATCAAAAATTTTTCTATCAATTTTTATGGGAATCATTTGGTAATGTATTCATTTTAACAAGTGCTATTCTTCCCATCAAAGATAGTTGCAAATTAGCCGATTTTTCCAGGTCACTCTTAATATCCTTCAATAGTTTATCATAATTGTCTTCTTTCAGAGTAGTACACTTAGCTGTAAGATAAATTCCCAGATACTTAACCTTTTTGACAATCTGCAAATCTACTTGTTCTTGCAAGGTTTTTCTCTGGTCTTGTGTAAAATTTTTAACTAACATTTTCGTCTTTTCTCTATTTATTTTCATCCCCGTAACCTCGCCATATTCTTCACTCCTGACTTTGTAGGAGTTTAGGCATTGTTGCAAAGGGTTCCTCCATTATGAAAACCAGGTCATCTGCAAATGCTTGCAATTTGTAACTTTCATCTCTAATTCTGGTACCTTTAACGTCCGCATCATCCCTGATATTTCTATTCAACACTTCTAAAATCAGTATAAACAACAGAGGTGATAGTGGGCATCATTGTCTTGTACCCTTAGGCATGTGACTTTTTATCAGTAGTCTGGCTTTGTTCTTTCAAACCCCGCCTCTTCTAAAGCCTCCTTCCATTCTTCTACCACTTCATTTCTTTTAAGAAGGGAGCCCACATTCAGGGTTGCAAAGCAACTTAGAATATTTTGATATGCTGAACTCTGACTTTGTAACTGTTCATGGTGTGGAATATAGCTGCAGTTTCATCTCGCAGCATTATGCAATGAAATATAAAGGGTGAAATGTTATTGCCCCTTCTAATTAAGATTGCTACAAGGTTCTCATTTTCTTCTTATAGGAAATGACCCCAGAAGAAAAGAGTACTATCACCAGCCTCAGCAAATGTGACTTCAGCCATATGAGTCAGTATTTCAAAGCTCAGTCAGAAGCGAGAAAACAAATGACCAAGGAGGAGAAACAGGTATCTTGATTTAGGATTTGTTTTTAAAAGGCTTTCAAGATGAAACCCATGGTTATGATTGGAATGTTCTTTGTATTAAGTATTCTCAGTCCACTGGATCATACAATAATGTTTATCGTTACTGAGTGGAATAACTGAAATACTGTTTTGGGGAAAGCGTGCTTCATTATTAAGTATTTTTGGAATCGTTGGGATGAAGGAATATGTAAGTATATAGGATTGCATAGTTAGCCTTCAAGTGCGGATGTAGGTGTTTTGGCATCACAGGGCACAAATAATCACGTTGAGGGTAAGTCAAGGCCAGTGTTTAGACCAGGCCTAAGAATCTTTGAATTGCAACTGCATTCTTGCAATCCGTTTGTAGTATTTGTAAACCTCTTGTTGCTGAGGTTTTCAAGCACAGCTTCAATGGGGCTAAATAATTGGTTGTAATTTTGACTCCAAATAATGTATATAGTCACTTTGGACACATTTTTCCTTTGTATGTGTGCGTCCTAGAAAATAAAAGAGGAGAATGAGCAGTTGCTAAAAGAATATGGCTTTTGCATCATGGATAACCACAAGGAAAGAATTGCCAACTTTAAGATTGAGCCTCCAGGCCTCTTCCGAGGGCGTGGCAACCATCCAAAAATGGGCATGCTGAAGAGACGGATAATGCCAGAAGACATCATCATCAATTGTAGCAAGTGAGCATGGAATTATTTTCTTCCCCTCCACCCTCCTTTCCACACTTCCCACACACATACAGGAGAATGCAATGCACAGCACTTGCATTCCAGCTGTTTACCTCAGGTAACCTCTCAGTCAAGTAACCTTAGTTACAGTCATTTCTATCTGGGGCCTCTGCTAGTGAATGCTGTGTAGGACCATGAAGAGCAGTGCATAGTAATATATGTGCCGAAGTTCACAAAACCCTGTCACATTAATTGGTCACTTTCAAAAAAACATCCTGTGAGCTAGCAAAACACAAAGAACTGGGATTAGCTTTTAATCTGTAAGTAGTAATAGGTTGTTACATTTTATGCCCTCTTTCTTGTTCAGCAGCTCAAAGCACTCCCCACCCCCAACCCCAAATTTAGAAAAGGTTTTTTTTTTTTTTTTTTTGCTCTAAAGTGAAAATATTGGGCCACTTCAGACCATTTTCCTAACCTATAGATATTACAGAGCTGCTCTGATACTACAGAGCTGCCCTGACTGGCATTTGCCTTGGTAAAAAGATGAGGTGCAAATCAAATAAATCAACTTGAACTTTACAATGTGTGTCACTTTCCTTTGTAACCAGTACAGACACCAAAAAGGTTGGTACAATAGGGATGGTGCACCGACTGCAGTGGTCTGAAGAGTTTCTGTGCCTGGTGGAAGAGGCAGGGGATGATGCATTGCTCTTGCACCAGCTCACCCTTTTTCTTTGCTGGACACATTGAAAGGGCCTTTGTGTCCTGCTTATCCTGTGCAGAGATGCTGAGGGTAGACAGATTCCCTCCCTTCTTCACCAGCTTACTCAGCTTCTGTGCTGACCAGAGGGGAAATGAAGCCCCCTTCCCCTTCCTAGCCAGATTGTTCCATGCCTCCTCCAGCCTGCTTGGCTTTCATGCTAACCACAGGATAGGGATTCACTTCATCTGCTGTCAGTATGTAAGAGGAGTGATAGAGGAGTGATCCATGGCTTAGCCAGCCCTGCTTAATTACCAGCATAAGTTTTTTGCAAGCCTGTGTTTTACACTTAAGAGGGGGTACCTCTTAGGACCAAGAAAGAGATTTCAAGCTAGTTACTTTTTGTTTAGGCCCTTGGTTTATGGTGCTGGCCTGCATAGCCCAAATAAGAGTGAATACAGGCGGTCCCCAAGTTGCGAACACCCAAGTTACAAACAATTCATACTTATGAACTGCCATAAGAGGGAGAGCTCCAAAGCATGTCCTTCTTCCCTGCCCATGCAGAGAGGGAAATCTCTCTGGCATTTCTTTGCTGCAAAGAGGAGGCACTGGTGAGTAGGGAGTGGAATATATTCACAGTTTTTCCACTTTCACAGGGGTCCTGTACCTCTAACCCCCCCCCCCAGCAAATGTTCATGATCTGACTTAAGGATGAATTCCCCTTTTCTCAGTAACAGAACTCATTCGTCACCTAAGGACTACCTGTATATGATTTATTATTTATGTTTTGCTTGTATTTTACTGTTTCTTTTTTAATTTAGTTTTTAAATTTTGAAACATTTTCTGTGTTCTTTTTCCTCACACCAGAGATTCCAAGATCCCAGCACCTCCACCTGGACATAAATGGAAAGAAGTCCGACATGATAATAAAGTGACTTGGTTGGTGTCATGGACAGAAAACATCCAAGGATCTATTAAATACATCATGTTGAATCCCAGCTCTAGAATCAAGGTGATTTTTTGTGTGAAACCACAGAAGCTACTCTGTCATGCTCACTGTGTTATAGGGAGGAATGTATTGCCTAATAGAAGATCTAAAGATTACTCTGTTATTTTTGTGAATCTCCTGCTAGTTTGGTAATATCTTAAAACACCATTGTTCAATTGTCAGTGCATTTCTGAAGCAAGAAGTTGCAACTGAAAGTCAAATAATATCTTTACAGTGGCAAGGAGCATACCTTGAGAAACAACTCTAAATGGTAGCCCATCTCCAAACTAGAGCCTTCATACTCCAAAGCAAGCTGTCATATTTCTCCTTGCATTTACCTCTGTAGGGTGAAAAGGACTGGCAGAAATATGAGACAGCTCGGAGATTGAAGAAATGTGTAGATAGGATTCGAAATCAATATCGAGAAGACTGGAAGTCCAAAGAGATGAAAGTACGGCAGAGGGCTGTTGCATTGTACTTCATTGACAAAGTAAGGATTATGTGTTTATTTCCAGCTTCGTCCTTTTTCAGTAAATAGGCAGAACTGCTGAATGTAAACCTGCTAAATTCCAGGCTTGATACAAGTATGTGTCTATTCTCCTAAAACACAACAGTACAAAAGGTGATTTTAAAAGGTCAGGAAAGTGTGCATGCATGCATGCTTGCTGTGTATACAGGGGATGCCAAAATGTATACACATTTTAAGAGATGTTGTGTATGTATTACATTTCGAAATTGAATTACAATAGCAATCTGTAGCATGACATTCACTCAAAGGAGGGTGTTAATCAAATGAATGCTAGCATCCCCATGCAACAGTTTTTAATACAGCTTTTTCCTTTCTTAAAATGTGTATACTTTTTTTGGGCACCCATATATCATACTCTGACTTTTGGAGTACCATTAAGATGTGATACTAAACGTTGACAGAATATTTCATAGCATCCTTCCATAATCTGGTGCCCTCTAGATGTGTTGAATTGCAACTCCCAGCCAATTCATTGTTCTTGTTGTTGTTAACTAGATGTGCTGAGATGGTAAGTGTTGCAGTCTGTCACATGTGGAGGGCAGTAAGCTAAGAAAGGCTGTTGCACAACTTTTCTGTAGTTAAATAATGAGAAATGGAGCAGAACTAACAGCATCAATGCCAGCTATCATAGGCTGCTCCAGCTTTACCTGTGAGCTGTGTTCCATTCTAGTTCTTCAAGGCAGCTGGAGGGTGGTCAGATGGGTCCTATTCAGCTAAACAAATGGAGAATATGGCTTTCAGTAGACAAAGAGACAAAGCTTGCTATAATCCTTTATTTGATTTTTCTCATATCTTAGGCTTGGAATTTTAACTGTATAGTTTATTAGTTCAAACAACCCTAAAAGAGCTTCACACTGGTGAGAGATTGTGCTTAGAAATGCTTCTGTCTCTTTAGATTGCTGTTTGTGATATCTCTGTTCTCTCTCACTATTTCATATTTGTAGCTTGCTCTGAGAGCTGGTAATGAGAAAGAGGAAGGGGAGACAGCTGATACAGTGGGCTGCTGCTCTCTCCGTGTGGAGCATATTAATTTGCATCCAGAATTGGATGGCCAGGAATACGTAGTAGAATTTGACTTCCTTGGAAAAGACTCCATACGATATTATAACAAAGTCCCTGTTGAGAAGAGGGTAAGTCTATTTTGTTCTGTATCATTTAAAGCAGTGCGGTCCAACTTTTCATACCTTGAGGGCTGCATGATGAATTACATTTCCATGTCATAAATTGTTTGCAATATATCTATTTAATTTAATATACTCAATATATTTAATTAACAGTTAAACAAGGAAGAAGACTGATATGAGGTCTCAGAGTTGGGAATCGGGTCAGCTGCTTAATTTTAAGATAATTTTAGGCCTAACTGAATGAAAAAGAATGCTTTGTAGGCCTATGATCTCTGCAGAGATTGCAGGCAGCTCCTTCTCTGACCAGAGCCCAAGCACAACGACCACTCCTCTGGGGTGGCCCACCCCTTTCTTCTCTGTTTCTCCCACCCAGAAACTCTCCCATGTGGAAATGGCGCACTAAACCTTTTGCACTAGAGCAGAGGAACTCTGCCCAGCATGCCCTTCCTGCTCCTGCTGATGCACACAAAGGTGCCTTGTGCTCATCAGCTGAGCCTCAGGAAGAGAGCAGGACAGAATGGCAACCTTGCGAGAGCATGTCACAATCATGCCCTTGCCATCGCTGGGATCAGAACTGGTGGTGGGGAAAGGGGTGGCTTCAAGCAGCAAGAGGGCTGCAGAACAAGGCCTTGAGGGCCACATGCGGGCTGCATGTTGGACCACCCCAATTTGCAGGTGGGGAGTTGCAGATGGCTGCAGATCAAGGTTGCTTTATTTTGTGAATATCCTCCACCTACTGGTGGTTTTTTGTAATCTGTGGTTATGTATAGAGCTCATTTAAACATAAGAATAGCTGTTTGATCAGACCAGTGGTCCATCTAGTCACTGAGTAGTGAAGTCCCATTTAGCTTTAATGAATCATTTTAGCTTTAATGCTTAATAAGGTTATCAGTAGCTGCCCACAGTTCCTTCCCTTCACTCTGTATGTAGAATTACAGTTTTATAATTCTGTATCATGTTTATTCTCCCCCTTCCCCCTCATTTTTTTCCCTTCTAAACATAAAGGTCCGAATTTCTTTAAATTATTTTCATAGGGTAGGTGTTCCAACCTTTTAAATTGCCTTTTAAATTCCAGTTTGAATCTGGAAAATATGTTTCCTATTTTACCAGCAATGAGTACTGGCCAGTATAGTTCAATGCACCAACACACATCTACAAGGCTAGTAGAACACAGTGATTCTTAAACAATGAGTTCAGGTGGGATCCTTTGAAGGAGTGAGGAGCACTTTGTGCATGTCAAGGTAGTATAACAGGCTTCCATATTTCAGACTTCTTTTTTCTCTTCCCTGCTCTTGGTTTGCAGGTTTTTAAAAATCTGCAGTTATTCATGGAGAACAAACAGCCTGAAGATGACCTCTTTGACCGACTCAATGTAAGTGCATTCCATAGCTTATATTGGTATTGTGTAAAAGTAGTCCCTACCATTAACTGCATATACCGGCTTTTTCATTCATTGCTCACGATGAAGACACTTTCGTATTTAATAGTGTGTAGAAAAGTGTGCTGAAATAAACTGTCTTGCAACAGGTCTGGAGTGGAAATATGTGTTATGGCATATTTGATGCCGTTTTGATCCATCTTTGGAGTTTGTTTTAATGATACATCACTTTAATTTTATTGTTTTTAAATTGGAATCCTGCATGCTGTTCTTTTTGTTATAGCATTGGTAGACTATAAATATTGGAAAAAATGAAATATAATGCAAACCCTCCATTGCTTACCACTCCACAAAAGCTTCTTCTAAGTATTCATTCTAAGAAGGGGACACTCTTGATTTACATGCATACAAATGAAGCATTCTAATGAAAGCACATAAATTGGCAGCAGAGCATGTGGCCAAGTTCATACCTCTTCCCCTTCATTCACCTTTAAATCTGAATGGACAGCCTGTGGGTCTCAGCCTATTTTCATGTGGCCCCTGACCATCAGTCAATAGCTCCCTTGGCAGCTGTGGAGAGAGAGAAGGCAGCAGTCTAGCTCTGGTCCCATCTAGTACCAGTTTGTGGATGCAAAAGATTGCCCCTGAGGAAATGTGGCTCTTGACAGAAAAGGGTTTCCCGTTTCTGCCCTGAATGAATACTGGAAAGGGCTTCTATCCAGTTTGAATATGATGCATTTGTTCCCCTTGGCATTTAATGGGGATATCTGTGTCACATAAAGGGTCAGTATAGGCCTTTGTTGTACATTACACTTCAAACTTAGTGTTTGAAACACTGCAACAGTAGTAATGGTTTCTGTTTTCCACCAGTGTTCCTCTGTTAAATCTGTTTGTGCACCTGAACCATTTGCTGAAATTGTATATCTTCAAAGGTCTTTTTAGAGTCTCACTCTCATTCCAAATGATCAAGTAGAGGACTGCACAGAAACATCCACTACCCCCAAAAATGGGAATAGGGAAGATTCAAATACTTAAGTTGAAGAAATTTTATAATTTAATGTTGGAATTAATCAATAAACCCACTTCTTTCTTCCCCATCGCTAACCTCAGACTAGTATCTTAAATAAACATCTTCAAGACCTTATGGAAGGCCTGACAGCCAAGGTATTCCGAACATATAATGCCTCCATTACGCTACAGCAGCAGCTGAAGGAGCTCACAACACGTAAGTGCCTTTGGATTAGTACATCTCATCCTTTGTTTTTTAGTGTTGCAAGCAAATATGACAGAGGAAAACATCAGAATCTGTGTTGCGTTGCTTTTTAAAATGAAATTCAGCTCTGGCCTTCATGCTAATAGAGAAGACTGCTATTTATTAGTAACCACACATTTAAAGTGCCACCCATACACTCACATCCCTTTACAGTTCCTTTTCAAATGTGAGAAGGTATGCGTGTGTGTGTTTGGGGGGGCTCTATACCTCACTTGAACAAACTAACAAAAATAGCAAATAGCAAAACGATTTTATAGAGTTTTACCATGGTGTAAGAAACCCTATAATTAATCTATGGTGAATTTCCTCATTAGGCATTCTTGAGATGTGTTTGACTACAACTCTCATACTAAGCTAGCTGAGAATGATGGACAGGATAATCAAATGATGGACAGGATAATCTAACATATCTAGAAGCTATGCATTGCCGAAAATCGTTCTGTAAAAATAATTAGTCATAGAGGGTCCCAAAGGGTCAGACAGACAGAATCTACAGCAATCTTTTTTTGCAATAATTGTATCTCCGTTCTGCCATTTTGGAGGCATGTTTATAAGAATGGGCCCCATGAAAGAATTACGGCCATGTGGCAACTCGTGATGGCACTTCCATGTAGTATCGGTCCTGTAAACTCAGTCTTGGAACTAATGGATTTACATTGCTCACCTACGAATCATCTATCATACTTCTTTTCAATACATTAAAATATATTTGGTTGGAATTATTTATGAAATATTCTTCTGTTTACATCCTCAAAGCATTTTACAATAAAATCAATTAAATGTTACAGACAGGAAGGAATATAATAAATCAACACGGAAGTAGTTAACCACTCCGTAATATCCCTAGGAATGACCCTTTCATATAACTTGTTTTTACAAGGTGATAGAATGAAAATAAAAGTGTGATTAGGCAAACCTCACTAGGTAGTGATTTTCAAAGTTGCCATAAAAAAGAAATCCCTTTTGTGAATCTTTCTGAGAAGAAAGGAACTGGAATATACCACCCAAGCCAAAAAAGAGTAATGGGCAATTGGGAGGTGAATCCTTCAGATAGTGGTGGTGGTGATTTCTATGCCACCTGATACCTAAAGGGTATAACAGTTTATTATAGTCTCTAAATGTATACACAGTGAGTAGATGCCCTAATGTGCTACACAACACAAGATATAAATCGCTGTTAAAGTTTTTGCATAGATATACATTTGTATAGACCTACACGTTTGCTGAAAATTCAGTTCATTTGCCACAGAGTTCATAGAATCAAAGAATAGTAGAGTTCAAAGGGGCCGGAAAGCCATCATGTCCAACACCCTGCTCAGTTCAGGACACCAAGTTGAACCATCCCACTCAGATGGCTTTCTAGTTCCATCTTCAGTGGCTCTAGCATGGGAGGATCCACAAGCTCCCTAATCAATTGGTTCCATTGTTGTACTGCTGTAACAGTCAGGATTTTTTTTTTTTTTTTTTGGTGCTATCTAGCCAGAATCTGGCTTCCTGTAACTTGAGCCAGTTGTTCCATGTCCTGCACTCTGGAATGATCAAGAAAAGATACTGTCCTTTTTGTGATAGCCTATTAAGTTAAGCATGTCTATTATATTTGTATTCAGTCAACAGCAAAAGTACCCTATGGGGACTTTTTTTGTCCCGCTATGTTATAAATATTGGAGCTGAAATGATTGAGGAGAATATTAAAAGCATACTTTATGTGATATACATGTTGCATATTTAAACAGTTTTATTGGAATACTTTTAAGCATTTGAAGACAATAGCATGTACTTTGCTTCATTATTTAAGAAAAAACAAGATGCTTACAAGAAATGGTTATCAAACTAATTAATTTTAGCAATCCAAAAAAACTGTATAGATATTTTGCTAACCACTCTATTTAAGCTGAGATCATCCCTGAAGTTGTTGTGGCAGCTTCAGTTTTGCTCTCGCTATTTATTAGTTCAGTTTCACTCAGAGTAAGAACATATACAGTTGGAAACTGTAATTTTGCCTAACAACTGTACTAGCAATTGGCACACATTTTTTACTAATGAATTTAAGCTGCACTAGCTCGCATCAGCTACAGCAGAAAGCCAAGCTGCTAATCTTTTCTTTCCATATGAAAAACTGAAATCATCCATGAGAGCCTAGCTAGAGTTCAAAGTTCACTGGTTCATTTTCAATTCTTCCAGCGGATGATAATGTCCCAGCAAAGATCCTGTCTTACAATCGTGCCAATAGAGCTGTCGCTATTCTCTGCAACCACCAGAGGGCACCTCCAAAGACCTTTGAGAAATCCATGATGAATTTACAGAGCAAGGTAACAGACTGTTTCACCCTTAGTTTAAAGCCAAACAAGCACTACTTGACTTGTCTTACTTCTGTTCCCTAACTGAGAGTTATCTAGCTTGCCCCTAAAAATACTTCACTACTGAAACTTATTTCTCTGATATCTGAAATGAGTATCTTGGTTGGTGATGTTATTGGAAATCCTTCATCGGATCTTTGCTCTTCATGCAAAGCTACTTTCAAATCTGTCCTTCCCACTTGTGGGTAAATTGCATATCCAACAAGTTATGTTTTGGTCTGAAGAAAAATCTGTTTTTTTAATTTTCATATTGTGAGTTTCAAAAAAAATCAAAAATTAAAAAAATAAAAGAATTAGTTTTCTTAGCATGAAATTTGAGTGAATCTGTTGCAGTGAATCCACACACACTCCTGTATCCCATATATATTTCATGTATTGCATGAAATACAATGAAATACTTCTGTTATTTGGGATAATTGTGCATAGACTTCAACAAAGGCAGCTCATAATTTATTTTTTTATTTTTATTTATTTAGAATTTTTATATGCCGTCCTGTTGTGAAGGCCTCAGGACAGCTTACATTATATCCATGTATTTGTCCATTCATAAATTACACTGAAAAACCACCTACTCAAAAATTGAAAGCATCATCAAGTCTATTGCAGGTGGCCATTTGTCCTTCCAGTGTTATTTTATTTTAAAATAAAATTTTATTATTTTCTTTATTAAATTTATATACCGCTCCCATAGCCCTTAGTCTTTGCCTGTGAAAAGGGTGTGAAGAATCCGTTTACATTCAAAGAGTATCTATAAATTATCACTGGTGAAAGCAGAAAAAAATTAGGCAAAAAATGTTCTTTGCTGTTCTGCTTTAGTTTTCCATCCTGGTTTGCTCTGAGGACATTGGGTGAGACCCAGAGTACCTCATAGCCTTGTAGAAAGTATTTTGGCTTGTGCAAGGCTTGTCATGAATTCTTCCATCCAGCGACACACCTCTGCGACATATCCTATGTGGTTCCACTGGGGCGTCCAAACTTCAGGAGCAGCTTGGAAGGAAACATGAGGGACTTCAGCAAGAAGGGGAAAATGGAAAGTCTCCATTGTTCTCTGCTCTCTCTCCCCCACACCCCGGAATCTGCTAAAAACCTATAAGGAAAGGAGGAATTTGATTTAATTAACTACTAGAGGGTTAATTTAAAGGAGGCTGATTATAATAAAAGCTTGGAAGATTTTCTGAGCTTTGCCTGGGATTTCATAAAAATCTCTTTCTCCAAAAAAAGCTTAACAGTTGTGTGAATACTTCTTGTCTGATAGACATAAGCCATGGCATCATACTTGTTTGCCTAATATGGCAAAACTATCCTTGGATGGTCTTCCTCTCTCAAAGTGTTTGTTTTTGTTTTATCTTAATGAAAACTAGTATATTTTATTTATCCCACACCCATTGCTGGAGCATGTTGATTGGAGCATAATCTACAATCTGCTACAGAGACACACAGAGCAACTGAATTATTCACCATTTTCCCCCACAAAATTGCAAGCCTCTTATAAATTCAGCACATGTTTGTCTTTCACTACTCTAATTCATCCTTTTCCTTTTCAGGTTATTTCTGACCCAAACCCTGAGGTCATTTGGTTAGGTTGGTTTACATCCTGAATCTGAAATAACCCTCTCTCAATAAGGCATTCTGTTTTATTAATAATCGGGGTGTTCTTTTTGGCTTTCATAATACCTAACCTGGCTGCTTCAGTTGTTAGGACTGACAGCTTTGACAAAATGATAACTACTTGGCTGCCTTCTGTTTTCCTCTCCCAACTTATTTGTACCATCATTTTCAGACGAGCTAAAGAGTCTTGTCAGTCTCAGCTTAGGTAAATGAACTGTAAACCATCACTATAAAATCCATGGTTTCACTCTTCCACAATAACCTCGTGCCTGCCACATGCTTTGGACTACTGCTCTCATCAGCCCAGTGCAGCCCATGAGGAATGAGGCAAAATGTAGTCCAGAACATATGGTGAGTACCAATTTGGGCAGCACTGCTTCAGCTTCAAACAATTGCTGGACAGGCACAGAAATTCCCTAATATGTCCAGCACAGTACTTTCAATTCTTTAAAGCAAGAGTAGGCAACCTGGCAACTTTCAGGTGCTTGACTACCATTCCATCATCTGTCCATTGGCCATGCTGACTGAATTGTAATTGAAAAAGTCTGTGAGGTATTAGGTTGCCAACCTTGGCTAGTAAAGGGTACCAGCTGTCTGTCTACACAGATTCCTTAAACCAGTCATTCTCAGTACTAATTAATATACTATTAATTCACTCAATGAATTGGCTGTATGATGGGAAATCAATCCTGCTTTGCATATTAGTATGTTTGATTCTTTGTGTAAGTCTTCCAGAGCCTTGGATGTAATTAGTCTGCAGATCATAGTTTTTTCTAGATTTTTGGGCTGTTGGTTTGAAGTCATTCTTTCCAGCCTTTAGATTTTCTCTTAGAAAGCCAGTCTTTATGCATCTTCCCAAAATAGCTGTTAGAACACCTGGACTTGAAATCCCACTGACTGATGAAATACAGGAATAGTTTCAAAGGAAAAGCAGCTAAACTGGTTTTTAAAATACGCTAGATTATGCATTCTATTAAACTAGTTGTGCAGGATTGGTGGGATGCAGTTGGATTGTATAGAAATAAATCTTCCTGAAAAGGTGGGTTGAGTATCTGAAACATCTTTTCTTACCAGCACATCTAGTTTAAACAGTAATAACTTCAGAGTTTCTCAGTCTGGCAGTTCATAATTGCATTTGTGACATCAGGTGGGAGCTCTGAAATCATAAGAAACAAGACTTCTTCTTCACAGTCTCTGTGCAGGAAAACCCTGTGCCCCTACATGGATAAGTTATGAGGCTATGGTTCTCATTACATTTACTTTTTGGGCACTGTCTGAGTGAAACAATAGGGAACTCTTCAGAGCCTCAGAAATACTTCTCTTTGTAATCTAGTCTTTGAAGGTTGTTTTACTTCATATTTCATCAGGTTTTATCTGTAACCTTTTAAACTTCAGTGTACAAAAAAGGGAGGGGGGAAGACAAATGAAACAATAGGTGGACTGCATTGCAAAGGTACTGTTTTCTCTTTATAAAGAAACTGGAGTGTGTCTACAGGAGGGTGGTCAGTGTGTACCGGTGTGGAGGAGGTCTGGAAGCCAAGCCTTGTGTGGAGCAGTTAAAGGAGCTCAGTTTGTTGAATTTGGAGAAAAGAAAATTGAATGCTGGGGACATGATTGCTCTCATCAGCTATCTGAAACACTTTATCATAGAACACATAAACTATCAGATTTATTTCCATGACATGTAGTGATGATGGCCACCAATTTAAAAGGGAATTGAACAAGTTCAGTCATGCAGCTATATGAGGCTTTAGTCCTGATGGCAGTGTGCCTGTTTACACCAGTTGTTTATCACCTTGGGTGGGAGACTGCTGTTACACTCATATCCTGGCTGTGGGATCCTGTGGGCAACTGGCTTGGCTACGTGAACAGAAAGCCAAACTAGATGGACAGTTGGTCAAATTCAATGAGGCTCATTTTATGTTCTGAAAAGATGGAATTGTTTTTTCTTCCATTGCTTCAGAGAGTAGAACCTAGACTTAATGGACAGAAATGCAAAGAAGCATATATTAGGCAAAGCTTCCTCATGGAAAGAGCTGTTCAGTAGTGGATCAAACATCCTCAGGTTGTGGTGGGCTCTTTTTTGCCCACTAGTATTTAAGCAGAGGCTTGGACAGTTTACTGTCAGGAAAGATGTCAGTCCTTCTTTGGGCCTATGTTTACACTAGACAGCCTTCAAAGTCCCTTCCGTGTCTAAAGTTCTGTGACTCTGTGGTAGGTGCCTTAGGTTTAATAGCTATTATTTTACTGATTTGTTACATACCCTTTTTCCTCCAAGAAGCCAAAAAAGCAGCATGCATGATGCTTCTTCAGTTTATTTTCACAACAATTCTGTAAAGTGGATTAGGCTGAGAGTTGGTGACTGTTCTTCGCCGTGGCCTCTGTGCATGACACATATGGGTTGCTGCGCCTGCGCAGTGCCTAGGCCGGAAGATTAGAAAGCTAATGGTTTTTGGCGGGAAAACTCCGCTCCCCTCCCTCTTTGTGGTATAAATAGAGCGGAGTGTCTGCCATTTTGTCAGTCTTTGCGACCGCCATTCGCTGTGACTCGTGCCTGTTCGTCTCTTGCTATAGATCTGTGCCTCTTCGTTGTTTTTTCTCAAAAAGTTTAAACTTCTCTTACTCCAAGTTTGTTCTTCTCCCCGATTCTGTCTGTTTTCTTCTTGAATTCTTTCTCTCTCTATATATAAACAAAAACAAAAATATTATCTTACCCTCTATACTGTCCTCTTTTCTTCATTTTTCCGCGATGGCGCAGCAGGCGGCATTCCACAAATGTATTGAATGTGGATCTAAAATGTCGCCGGCCGATCCACATGATCTATGCCTCCTCTGCCTCTGCGAGGGACATAGGACCGACAAGTGCGGTCATTGCTTGGCGTTTACCAAGCAGGCGCGGAAAAATAGGGAGAATCGTCTCAGAAAGCTCCTATGGGATCAGGCATTAATGCAGTCCGACCAGCTGCTCCTAGGGCCTCCTTTCTCTTCGTCCGCGCCTCCTCAGCGCTCCTCCTCCACCGTGAGCGCTCCGGCGAAGCCTCCTTCCTCGACCTCTGCCGACCCTCCTCAGCGTCCTTCGGACAAGGGCGCCGCTTCTATGGGGGCTCAGTCGCTGCCTTCTCCCCCGACTAAGAAATGGGAGAAGCACAAGCATACCAGTCTGGATAAAACTTCCACCCATAAGAAGTTGAGGAAGGAAAAGGTGGATAAGCCCACTCGCAAGAGCAAGAAACCTGACCGCCCAAAACAGTGAGGCTCAGGTTCATCGGCTTCTCGGTACCGACCCCCTCGGGACTGGCCCTGCAACTCGTTATGCAGGTGACACTACCGGGGTCCCCCAAGCC